GTAAGTGTAGGAGGAAGGCATAAACCTAGAATATCAAGCAATTAAAATTTGTATTTGAAAACTTCACTTTTCAGAAAGCAAGGCATATGCTGTCTTTCAACCAAAGATTTTACCAAGTTTACTCTAAACTCTAGTTGTACTGATTACAGGCCAGCTCAATTTCAGTTTCCTTTAAAGAAAGCATTTCAGTTGAAGTTAGAGCCATGAAAATTTATAAATCCTGTGTCCAAAATGGCTTTTTTACTGTGATTCTGTGTACTGCTGCAAGCTCCACTGGAAATTAAATAGGTTCTTGTAGTTCTGGTGTGAGCTAAGGCATCCTCTGGGATTAGTCTACAGTATTTAACCATTAAAGTATGTTGTTGGAGTAATTTGTATTCAAACATGTTTTAGGTAATTTCATCAGTTTCTATTTTCTTCACTACTTTCAGTGCTCTTAATACTTACAGATACCTTACATTTTTCATGTCTGAACCTGTGTATAGACATACAGACATGAAGCTCAAAGCCTCATCCAGCCTGGCCTTGAACAATCCCATCCCCGGAAGAGTTCAGATGAGGCTTTGAGCAACCTGGTCTAGTGGAAGGTGTCCCTGCCCATGGCAGGGGGGTTGGAACTAGACAGTCTTCAAGGTCCCTTCCAACCCAAACCATTCTATGAATCTAAGCTACTCATTATGTTTCATTTGCTTAAAGCATTTACATTAATAACAAAGATAAATATCCTGATTTTTTGAGAGAGGCTGGAGTTGCTGATCCCTCATGCATTATCAAACTGAATGCATATATTGTGTGTGAAACACTCAACTTGGGAATTAGTTACTAAGAAATAATGGAGACACTGATACATTGAAGATGATAGGCTTGTAATTGGAGTGAAAGATTTTAATTACATATTTATTACTGTATATTGTAAAACTTGAGGGAAAAATCCTTAAAAGTCAAACGTTTGTTTATAGCTGAATGAAGGAGATTAAATGGGACATTAGAGAATGCAATTTCTTACACAGTCTGCAAAGATTTTTCTTTCTGATGTTTGTGCATGCTTAAGGGAAGTAGAAAAGATAAAAGGAAGAGGAATTGGAATATCTTCGATGGAATTAAATAGTGTGAAGCTGTGTAAGTGATGGCATATCCGTTCATTATCTCCCCATTCAGTGTAACAAATAGGCCAGATCTTACTCATCCCCACTTGGCAGATTACAGACAGCACAGCCCAGCTGTAAACCAGCAGCTGACGCGCTCCCTCGGTGCAGTGAGGTCACTGGTGGGGTGCTTGGGTCTTACCCAGGAGCAGCACGGCTTTACGAGAATTCCAAAAGCTGCACCAGCCTCAGGGTGGTAAAATCGTATGCCCCGCTATGTGTGCCATGAATAGCCAGAGGGAAATAATAATTTCTCCAGTTTTTGACATACAGAAAAATTAGGGTTCTCAACTGCGAGTAAACCGTAACTGTCTGTTACAGGTGCCATTACGCTAGATTCAACGTGGCACTTCAGTGAGGAAAAAAGAGCTTTTGTCCCTTGCAGGCTTCACATCCTTAAAGTCTTATTTCTCATGTTCTTCCAGAGCAGGAGCAAATGCTGCTTTGTGTGAGTTTGCTTCATTTTGAGCTGTTACTAAAGTTGTCATATTTAAATTATAACATATACACCTAATGTTGAATCCTGACTATTTAAGCTTTTTAGGTCTGGTACTTTAGCTCTCCAGAAGAAAAGATGAAGAAGGGGGATTCTACTAAGGTCACACACACGTTTTTCTTTGAGATAAGACGTAGAGTTTTTCATATTCCTCAGTAACTAGTTTATTCAAAGGAAGAGACCCAAGTATCAGTCAGCTCTTACCTTTGCACACAAAGTACGGTTAGAAAATGTAATGAAGATGACAATATAAGCAAAAACAATATAAAAAATTTAAACAGAATTCAAAGGCTGTGCAAGATTTCCTAAATCACTGCGATATCACAGCATCTTATGGACAGTGTATTCTGCTAATCAGACTTTCAATGAAATATCTGCTTTTCATTGTTCCTTTGAAAAGTAACCTGAAGGAAAGGAGAAAAGGTGTCAGAATTCATTAGAGTATGTCGGAAGCCAGAAACTGGAAAGAAAATATATTGAATGTCAAGAGCAGGCAATACCAGCAAGGTCAGTGCATAAACAAGATAAATGACAGGAGTCTGCAAAAATAGAAGATGTGCTACAAAAGGGGTTAGTCTCCATTATCGGCTTATTATCCTCAGGATTTTACAAGTGGTTCTCTTTTCTCCTTTTTAAAATGACACTAAAATGGTTAAGCACTTTTTTAAATATGGTTTTATGTTTTGAGTGGACTAGATGGGAAATGCAGTGACTGTCGGTGAAATTCAGCTAACAATCCAAGTAATTGTGCAGGGGCATGTGGTAGAAATCACACTTTTGTTATTGTAACTGCTAAATGCTACCTCTTGTGTTGAATATGTGCCAGTAGTTTTCTCTCTGAATTCTTAGTTTGTGAGTAAATTCCTTGCAAGAACTTGAAAACGTCAGCTTTCTGTTTAATGTAGGTTGAAGGAATCAATGTAAAGTACGTCTATATCACTCTTCCCTAAATACTCATAGAAATACTTATTAAAAATGCTTTTGTATTAAAATCCTGTGTTTCTTCTTCACCATGCTGCCTTCCTTCTGCCTTATGTATCAGCAGATTTTGCTATCACCGTTATTTCCATTTCAGTCCTGTTCTTGATCTCTCACAAAGAAAGGATTTGGGAAATGCCAAAACATCATTGAAACATTGAAAGCAGTCATTGTTATGTTTTAGGAGCATGGTATTCCAACTGATTTGGGCTATGCAGTGGCTCCACACCATTCTGGAGTCTATCCAGTACATGTTCAACTTTATGATGCCTGGAAAAAGGTCTGGAATATCAGAGTTACCAGCACAGAAGAGTACCCCCATCTGAAGCCTGCAAGGTACCGACGAGGCTTCATCCACAAAAACATCATGGTGAGTTGTGTTTGTGATGTTCATGTTACCACCACTCTACATTTTATGAACAATTTATTTTTAAGTGGAAAAGCATGGTATCCAGAACGTTCACATTGTGAGAAGCACATATTGCTATGCATAAGTAGCAAGATATATTTGACAGTATCTTGTTAATTAAAATCAGTCTGTTGCTGATGATGTTACTGCTGATGAAGGTGGCCTCCAGGCACCCCTCTGTTAACAGTTAACAGGCTGTTAACTGTTCTAGTCCTACTGTTAATAACGGTTCAGAGATCTCAAGAAAAAAGTCAACTTTGCATTTTTTAACAGAATGTTGTGGGTTAGATTTCTAGCAGGTTTTAAATTTGCATAGTACCATTAACTGCAAACGAGTTTTGCCAGTTTATGCCATCTGAGAATCTGGATCTTGGTTTATAAATATATTTTTTCTTCCATTTGAACGTTGCACGCTCGCCCTCATTCTGCTTCCTGCCACAGAGAGATGGGAACTGCCCTTCGTACTGTGGCTTAACCCCACAGCTCGGCTTTGGGCGCAGCCTGGACACAGGGCAAACTGAAGGTTGGAGGGAAGGAAGACAGACGCAGCCACACCCCCTTCCAGGCTGTGCAACTGCTCCGTCGAGGCAGCCACCAGTCAAATTACACCATTTCTCTGTCCGACATAGTTGACGGCCTTGTTGACTGGCAGCAGTGTTTGCCAGAAGGGGTCATACGCAGCTGGCATGGAAGGCCTCATGCTCGTACCACTGGGGCGTAGGGTCTCTCTGATTCACATACCGTCCTTATTATCAGAGAAGTGTTTCAAAGCAGCTTTCCAAAATACTTGATGGTATGTTCTCCAGTAACTTTCTTTTGGAGCATGTCAGAGAGTGGTGAATGGGAAGGATCCTAGTGTGTCTACTGTGTTACACCTCCGGCTGCAGCGCTGGAGGATCAAGTGCCTTAGCGCAAGACTGCTGCTTAGCTTGCAGCGGGATTCTGGTATTGTCCTCGAGTTACCATGGATACCACTTTTCTAAGCAAAATAATAATATTTTAAAGTTCTGATCTATTTTTGTATGAAGCAAACTAAAATGATCTCTAGACATCCAGGGAAGAAACGGACACCGTACAGATTTGAGCTACAGTTTGTTCTCCTCAAAGCAATAGCTGCGTGGAAAGTAATGGGTTTGTGGATAGGCTCAGAGGGCGTGAAGCATTTGAGGAAGACTGATTGGCTCTCAGAATCTCTCAAAATCTCTTTCATAAATTTTTGTAAAAACATGTCATTTGAAGACACATAATGAGATTTAACACAAGGACACTGGGGTCAAAAATCTATTTCCGAGAACGGTCGTATAAAACCACCTGTTTTGGGAGTCTCAAGCTTTCAGTTCTCCAGGGCAAATGCTTTAATATTTTACATCTGCAGGCTTATAGTGATGAATACATTCAGTAATGAAATCGTTGTGTAAGATTTGCCAGAGCGTTTCCCATCCAATACAGCTTCATTCCCTGCCTCTGTGAAGAATTGTTTTCCTGTTTCATCAGTGAAGTCCAAAGGTTTTTTTAAAAGCATCTGCAAGTTTATAGCATACGTCCAAAATTCCATGCATTTGCCGACAACACAGAATTTACAATCTGTGGTGACAATATCCTGTACATTACAGAAAAGACGTTGAGAAATGAAACTATGAGAAATAAAGAATGTCTGCAAAACCACAGTCTGTGTCAAATAAGGGATTATGCTTTAAAAATTTAAGCTGTCATATAATATGTGTTGGACTTAATTGTTTGAGAACAATTCCAGTTTAAGAATTGTACATGAATATCAATACTTAGCTGTTGGTTTTCCATTAAAAATAGACATAATTGAAATACTCTCCAGCAAATTATTTTCTAAAGTTGATAGAAAATATTTTTAAGTTCTACTGGAAAACCAAACTGCATTTATTAGGTCTTAATATTCAGAAAACTTCTTTTCATGTTTTTAAAAATACTTTTGTTTATTCTGCTTTTTATTGCAACTGGTTTTACAAAACCAGCACAGTTGTGTGAGAAGTAAATCTTTCTTATCATGTGAGCAGTATCAGCAAAATTCATCATGTGTCAGTGTAGAAATATTATTGGTGGTGATGCCTAAGCCAATAAAAAAAAAAAGACTTCCAATTTCCAGTTTCAATTTACAACAAAGCCATCATTCAAATAAAAAGTGGAACTGATTAACACAATATAAACTGATAATGTTTCAGATTATGTTTCAAATCATTTTAAAATTTTGGAAAGCTTTGATGGCCAGACGTCAGGTACTTGGTTTTGGGATCAAGCGTTACGGACAAAATTAGTTTGACGAGGTTGCTGAATTGTAACTTCTTGATTGAGACTGATCTCCAGTTTCAAACAAAATGCGATGAATTTTTGGACATTATGATTTCACTGATAATGAAATGTTGTTTCTTGCAGTAAGCACAGTGTATTGATCTGCCATTGTATTAGTTCAACTAGATCATTATCGATTTCTGGCAAAGTTGTGATGCCAAATCTACCCAGCAGTTATCAGAAAGGAACACTATCAGTTATGTGTATCTGGCATTTATTATCTCGTTAAAGGTTTAAAACATTTTTGGTCTGTGACTTTCTCTTCATTTTTTTTTCTTTTAATAAATTCAGGTGCTTCCTAGGCAAACTTGTGGCTTATTCACCCACACAATTTTCTATAAGGAGTACCCAGGAGGCCCAAAGGAACTAGACAAAAGTATTCAAGGAGGAGAGTTGTTCTTCACAGTGGTTCTCAATCCAGTAAGTACAGTGTGATTTTGAAATGTTTTTTTAAAAATTAGCAAAAGGAGAAGTTACTGAATACTTCAGGGTTAATCAGCTGCATCTCCAAATAGTAATGATTAGTTACAGTGAGCTCTTCTGCTTCTTCAGTGGATTAAGATCTAATATTATGTATGTTCTGCTAGCAGTACAAAGATAATCTCTGCTGGTTTTGACAACCGTTTTGTTAGTAATGCAGTAGTAGCGACCTTTCTTTTTCTTCCTTACTTTGCATGAAATAAGAACCCTGAGGTTTAATTTTTGAAAGAATTCAAGCATTTAGAACTGAGCCTACTATGAGAAGAGCACCTCAGGTGAAGTCCATTTTCCTGCTCTGCAAATCCATGATCAGAAGTGTTGGGAACACTCATTGGTTTGGGAAAGCTGAAAGCAAGGAGTGCTTGCACTTAAGTCTGTTTTGAGAATGAATTGCTGACTCACAGTAACTGCAAAGAAAAGATCCATGTAAATGAACCATGTAGTTAATACATCTGCTTAACCTTTCCTTTATCTTTAAGGGAAGAATAAACAACAAACTAGGCTATGAAACTACAGAATACTGACAGAGAGAACAGTATAGTACTTCAAAATGACATGGGATTAGGTCACTTGCATCAAAACTGACCTTTTAGACAACCTTTTAGGTGAGCTTTTCATCTGACGTCCAAATGAACCACATAAATAAAATCTACCCGTTTTATACAAATGTAAGCACTGAGACTCATTTTTTCAGAACACCAAAGTGAGCAAAACATATTTGCACTCAAATCCTGTGGAATAATAGCCTAAATATTTTTGCCCTTTTTAAATCTCCCATACTTTAATGGTAGTCCAAAGGAAAAAAACCTCTGTCAGCTACTTCAGCAATTTATATGCAGGTCTGTTTTTCAAGCCTCAAATTCTTTCAGGCTATGGTTGTGGTTCTTGGAGAGCAGTTACTGTGTTTTGTTCTCCTTTTCACATTCACCCAGCAGAATTAGGAAATAAAAACATCACTTCCTCAGCACAAATGTGGTCTCCCTTCTAGAGAATGGCAGTAGTCCCAGCCCTAACTTCGATGATGTGTGTCATTTCAGACACAGCTTGTTAACTGAGGTGAGATCTGGAACATTCCTTAGATGGAGAGCATAGGTACCATAGCAGTGCTTAGGCAATATCTGGATTTTAACTCAGAGTTAGTAGTTTAACAAAGGCGACTTAGAGGAAGACATATAGTAACAACATTTTGAGTCAGGAAAAACTGTATTCCATATTGAAACATAGCAACGACTTTGCCAAAAACTATTTTACCATCTTAGCAACAGTAGGGAAACGTCAAAATTTAATATGGTTGCTCAAGGCATAAGCCTTTCAAATTAAAAGAATGAAGAGAATGGGGGGGAAGACAAGATAAGCAGTGAAACAGTCGTGGTTGTTGGTATTAATAGTAGGAGTCTGATCACGCCTGCCTGCCTAACGTCCTTGAATGTGAGTACAGTGATGCCTTTTTATATATTACAATCAGGTTGTTGGTTTATGCACTGCAGCGTAGGCTGTATGATCACCTGGTTCTGAGAAACATGATATCCCCAATACAGTACAGGCTAAAAGAATAGACGTTAAATGCACTACTTGTAAGTAGAACTGTAAATTATTATCGGGCCAAAATTTGCCCAAGTCAAATTGTTGCAATCCTTTTAAGGAGTGCCTTTGACAAGGTGATGCATCTGGTTTTAAATATCTGCTTATAAACTGTTTGTGAAGGTCTAAGCATGAACCTGGCATGTAATCAATTTAAAGATGTGGGTTTACATTTTTCTGGGTTTTAATTATTACATGGATTTATACCATAATTTGCAAGTCAGGGTTGGGCAAAGATTAGACATTAAAATGAAAACCTAGTGGCTTTAGGAATTTGTCTAATTACGAAGTGGCAGTTTGGATTCCATAAGCTTTCTTGTGTTTTCATTAAAATTACTGGGATTTCTTAGTGTGAAACACCCAGCTTTTCAGAGGATTCAAAAACTCTGCTGTGAGACATTTTCTAAATGTTATTTCTCACTGATGTAAAACTATAAAGAAGAAACATTACCTGGGAATCATTACAGTGTCAGCTAAATAATATTCTCAGTAATGGGTACGTAAATATTTAGTTTCCAAAAACAGAAAATGTGGGTGTAAATTACATTTAAATCTTAACTAAGGCCTTCATTACATCTCCTGGTTTCACTGATGTTAAGTGAATATAGTTTCTGAGGTGTAGGTTACTAGGCTGAGGCTTTAGAAACTTGAGTACCCTACACTGAAATAAATGCCCCTAAGAGTAAAGCCCCAAATTTCTTTGTGGTTTGGCTGTGTAATGGTAGCTGTTCACAAGAGAGGCTGTGCTTCCTTATGGTGTGCTAGTTCAACCACAATCTGCGGAATAAACCACAAAGAAACACAGGACCATATGTGCATCTGTAAACTTTTGACATGAGAACCAGCATTATTGCCCTGTTCCCAGGGCATTGAACAGTTAGCAGTCCCGCAGGTAAGAAAAGCATCGGGAAATCCTGCTCTGCAAATGGTTTCTGCCAGTTATAGTTTATATGGGAACTAAGAGCTGGTTTGTTGGAGCAGCTAATCCTGTGGTTGGCAAGCTGTATTTATGTGGTGTGCAGTTCTGTCCCCACACTGCTGGCCCGAGTGCGGTCTGGTGGTAGCTGTGAAGTGATCTTGAGAGCTGTGCCCGTTGTGTTCATAAGGCGTCTAGAATGCTGAAGTGCCACCAAGCTGAAAAAGAGCCTGAGTAGTACTATAACTCGCTATCTGCCTACTCTTCCAATAATAATTTTGTATGTCTGTCTAAAGATCTTGCTGACTTCAGCAGTCCTTAGGCCAGATCATGCTGTATCAGGATCCTGCACAAAATGTTTTACAGAAGAAAAAAGAGGAAAAAAAGGAAATTCTTCAGCAACTCCGTACTATTTGTACATAGGCATTATTTTCCCCACATTATTGGTTGAATAACTGGCTTTGAGGGAGGTCGTGTGACTTGCACTGATTTAGCCAGGGAATTCTGCAGCAAAGACACAAGGAAAACGTTCATTGTAGACGTCTTTAGTGATGCATATCTTACCCACTCAGACAGCTCTCTATCTTGGTTTTCATGTTTCATGTTGCTACTGGTTTTGCTAGCAGTGTACTGGCTTGAAAACATTCTATCCAGTATTTTTCCTGATAAACTTGTTAGAATCTTCAGTGACTTCAGATTCATCTATCTCTGCAGTTTTCAGGGAAGTTCTTGGATTAATAAAACAAACTTCCGTTAAATGTCTCTTAGAATGAAATTGTACCTTTCTCCTAAATATGTCTCGTAAAAGATGAAGGAAGTCAGCAATTAGATTTTGAGCTCTATATAATGTTGAGATAGGTGTAGACACTGCCATCAAGTGTATCATTTCTTCTCAGCTTTGCTGGTAAATCTCTTATCAATGCTGACAAGGCTCCATCCATACTTCTGAACTGCTCTGAGAACAATTAGACCTAAGAACCAGGCCAAACTAAACATAGGTGAACTGAACATGCCATTATAAAGCTATGTGAATATTTCTTTCTGTCTGCCACTGAGCGTTTTCCTCATCTGCAGCTGGGAACATACGTACATACAGCTTTTTTATGAAAATGTGTCTGTAGTAGTTACCCGTCTGTGCCATAGCCGTTCTTTCTGTAGTAGTTGATGTGGAACATGTACCATAAAATAAGCAAAGTAAGAACTAAGACCAGAGAAGTTCAAAAAGCACTGACGTAATAAAGTTTTCAGAGACCTAAGTTAAAAATTAACTATTTTTAGCTTGCACACGTGTTGCAATGGATTTAAATACCAAACTTTGATTAAGCGAGTAACTAAGGCTATCAATTGCAAAATTATTTATTTGATATGTAACAGTACTGCTCAAGCATTAACAGGAACATAACAAATCTGACTGTCTCGGTGAGTAGCTGTACGTTACGATAACACATATACGTTAAGGCTATACACCCTCCATCTTTCCAGGAAAAGTAAAATTGTGACTGGAACAGGATTCTGCTGAGGACAGCACTGCGTACTGTAGCATTTTCTCTAATGATGTACATGTTCTCCCATGAGAGCAGCTATTAGAGCTGAGCTATTAGAGCAGCTATTGTCTGATGAACACTTGAAATTCATTCACCTGTCCCACGGGGCTGGTGGAGGCTACGGAGTAAGAGGCAAACATGTTGAACAGCTCTTGTTCTCCTTGAGGCTGCATGGGCAGCAACCGAAGTTGATGCAGATGCATGAGCTTACTCTGTGCTACACAGGCAATAGGAAAAGGAGTTCACTGTTGTATGAGACATGCTTATAGTTAGCCAATTGAAACAGGCATGATTATGAACAGCGTGTTATAGCCCAGTAGCAGAAAAGAAAGGTTCCTATCTGGGCGTTTGTCTATGCGGGTTCTTTGAAATGAACACTAAGCAGTGGATCTGCACATTTTGCACAGCAAAGTCAGTGGAATTTTTCTCATCATTAGTGGGATAATACATAGGTTGTTGTGGTTTAACCTGGCAGGCAGCAAAACACCACACAGCTGTTTGCTCACTCCCTCCACAGTGGGATGAGGGAGAGAATCAGAAAAAAAGGTAGAACTTGTGGGTTGAGTTAAAGGCAGTTTAATAGGACAGAAAAGAAAGGGCAAATAATAATAGTAGTAGTAGTAGTAATAAAAAGAATATACAAAACAAGTGTTGTACAATACAATTGCTTACCACCTGATGGATGCCCAGCTGTTTCTGAGCAGCAGCCACCATGCCCCAGCCAACTCCACCCAGTTTATATGTTCAGCATGACGTCATATGGTATGGAATATCCCATTTGGCCAGTGGGGGTCAGCTGTCCTGGTTGTGCCCCCCAGCCTCCTAGCTGTCAGGGCAGTGTGGGAAGCTGAGAAGTCCTTGACTTGGTATAAGTACTGCTCAGCAACAACTAAGCCATC